TTGTCAGGAGGGAACAGTCGCTGGAGAAGGATGTCATGTTTGGTAAGGTTGGAGGGTCAGAGAAAAAGAGGAAGACCCCCAACGAGATGGACTGGCCAAGTGGCAGCATCGATGGACTCAAGCATGGCAACATTAGTGAGGTTGGCCCAGGATCAGGCAGTGTCTCATTCTGCTGTGCATAAGATTGCTATGGGTCAGTACTGACTTAATGGTACCTAACACCACCACCACAAATGCAGTAAAACTTTTGGGACCTTAATTTGCTGATGGGGAACAACTCACACTGAAGTGAAACAGCTGTAAACATTCTTCAATAATAACATGGAATGCAGCGAGTATGAATCTAGAAAAATTGGAAGTTGTCAAAGCTGAAATGGAACACATAAAAATGGATATCCTAAATAGTATTACTATTCTTATCAGGTTCTGACTCATAGCGACCTTAAGCACAACAGGACAAAACACCACAACACTGTGTGGTCCTACACCACCCTCACAATCACTACTGAAGCTTGAGCAGATTGCTGTTGCCACTGTGCCAACCCATCTTGTTGGGGGTCTTCCCCTTTTTGTTTAGTATCCACTTTACCTAGCATGATGCCCTTCAACAGGGATTGGTCTCTCCTGATAATATGTCCCAAGTATGAGAGACAAAGCCTCACCATTATGTCTTCTAATGAGCACTCTGACTGTAATTCTTCCAACACAGACTTGTTTGTTCTTCTAGCAGTTCACGTCCTTTAATATTCTCCTCCAACACCATAACTCAAAGGCATTCATTCTTCTTGTTCACTATCCAACTTTCACCTGCATATGAAGCTACTGGAAATACCATGGCCTGGGTTAGGCGCCTTAGTCCTCAAACTGACATCTTGGTTCTTGAACACTTTAGAGGGTTTTGTGCAGATATGCTTAATGCAATTTATCATTTTGATTTTCTGACTGCTGCTTCGTGGATGTTGATAGTGGATCCCAGCAACATGAAATCTGTGACGGCTTCCAACCTGATGGTATTCATTGGTCCAGGGGTGAAAATTTTTGTTTTCTTGACATTGAGGTGTAATCATACTGGAGGCTGTGGTCTTTGATCTTCATTAGTAAGCAAGGTTGTATCATCTGCATATCAGATTCAAAATGGCCAATACCAGTTCATTTCAGCTCATTAATGCCTAAGATATGTTTATGCGTTCCATTTCATTTTTGACAACTTCCAATTTTCCCAGATTCATCCTTCGTACATTCCATGTTTTGATTTTCCATCGATGTTTACAGCTGTTTCTCTTCATTTTGAGTTGTGCCCCATCAGCAGATGAAGGTCCTTCGGGCTTTTCTCCCACGGGCTTTATTCGCATCACCATGGTCAACTCTGCTTTGAGGGGGCAGCTCTTCCCCAGTCGCACTTTGAGTGCCTTCCCACCTGAGTGGCTCATTTCCCAGCACTCTATCTGACAGTGTTTCTATGCTATTCCGAAGGTTTTCAAGTGACTAAACATTTAGAAGCAGTTCATCACTCCTCCTTTCTAGTCTGCCTTGACTGTCTGGAAGCTCATCTGAAACCTGTTGGTATTTAAAATACCGCTGGCATAGCTTTCAGAATCATAGCAACTCACAGGCCATGACAATACGACAAACTGGCATTTGTGTAATCATGGTCGATTCTACTTCAAAAAGGCAGCTCTTCCCCAGTTGTATTTTCAGGCCTTCCAATCTGAGGGTTCATCTTCCGGCACTGTATCTGATAATATTCTGGTGTTCTTCATCATCATGTTTCAGTATTCAATATTTTGGCGCTGACAGTGTTCCACTGCTATTCATAAGGCTCTCCTTCTTCCTAGTCTGTCTGAGTCTGGAAGCTAAGCTGAAACCTGTCCACATGGGTGACCCTGCTGGTATTTAAAATATCAGTGGTATAGCTTCCAGAACCATATCAACAATGCATGTACAAAACTGACAGACGATTTTTGAAAAGATATGCAAGACCAGTATGTGGAAAACATTAACATTACTGACAGAGATTAAAGAAATTAAATTAAAGCTCTACATATATGGATATAGCGTTTTTCATTGATTATTAGGCATGATACTGTAAAGACTGCAATTCTACCTAATTGACCTGTAGCAGGGAATTGTACACTCTTTCTCTAAGGGACGACATAATAAACAACTTTATTATAAAGGAGCTCTGGGAGCGTAGTGGTTACGAGTCAGGATGCTAATCTCAAGGTCAGCAGTTCAACACTACCAGATATTCCGTGGGAGAAAAGTGAAGCTTTCTGCTCCTGCAAAGATGTACAGCCTCAGAAACCCTATGCAGAGTCACTATGAGTCAGAACCAACTCCATGGCAACCACCACCACCATCACCAATTGTAAGGCATGAGCCTGCCATAGAGTACGTATAAACAAATGGGTATGGTTGTGTTGCAGTAAAACTTCATTACAAATAGGTGGCATCTGGATCTGGCCTGCCCATAGATTTAGAGTCACTGCAAAGGAAGCAAATTCTGTCCCATTTATAGTAAAATGCAAAGGGCAAAAAAAGAGTTGGTACAATCTTGAAGAAAACCAGAGTGGGCTAACTCGATCAGATATGAGGACTCAGTATAAGCGATTGCAACTGAGATGGCACAGTCATTTTGCAATTACAGACAAAAAGCCATGGAACAGAGGAGAGTCCAGCATAGACACAGACACGCAGGATCACCTGAATTACGACAAGGGGGCAATGGAAAGCGGGAGATAATGATGTTATCAATAAGTGCCATTGGGTCAATTGAATATCCACATTTTAACTTGAGAGAAATTATAAACATGACAGCCCCAAACTTAATGCTATTTGCAAGAATCAAATACATGAGGATATGTTCATGACTTTGCAGTGGGGTACAGGTTTCTTAGCAGAACACAAAAAATCACTATAAATAATAAAGCCATAAACCCCAAAGATGACAGGCTACCACAACCGACTGCTCTGAAAGGTAGAAAACCCTGACTAGAGTAAGAGAAAATGTTGAACAAGACTCAAAATTCTAAAAGACCAGCTTCACTAGTCAGACAGAGACTGGTGGTACCTGACTCTCTCTGGCTCGGCTCTTAGTCACCCTTCAGGTCTGGAACTGAACTCACCCTGTGACTCAATCCCAGCCAAGCTATAGACGGATACGTAGGGGACAACAGTACTAGCGGGGTTGCCAAGGGGATAAAGAGGAGTGCCAACAGAAATACAAGGAGGAAGTGGGATGAGCGATGTTACATACGGAGGGGACTGCAACAGAAATCAAACCAAGGGTATGACGTGTTGGATGTGCAACACAATCTGCTGTGCATACCTTCATTTGATTCACAATAAAAAGTTCACACAGAAAAAGTAATGAATTGCACTACAGTGAAATTAAAATCTCTACTTATTAAATGCTATGGGTCAGAACCAACTCGACGGCAGTTCACAACAACTTATTAAAAGATATACTTAAAGCAAAAAAGGCCAACCACACAGTGGGAAAAGATGTCTGTATAACAAAATCAACCAAGGAGATAGAGAATCACTACAAATCAAAAAGGGCAGGAAATGTCACCAAAGAAGAGACACCTAAATGGCCAGTATATCTATGAAAGTGACTTAACCTTGTCAGCACCTGAGAAGATGTGAAAATAACCACAGGGACATATGTTCATACACTCCAAGTGTTGGCAAAGGGCCACACCAGTGCTGTGTTCCTGGCCTATCTCTGCTCAGAGACAGCAGCAGCGGCCTAGTGCTCAGGTCTAAGTGGCACATCAGCACTCTGCTCTCTGTCCCAGGGCCCCACGGCTGCCCCAGCACCTGTGGTGACAGCCTGCCATCCTCGTGTGGTCTCAACTGACTTACTTGCTCAGTTTTTCTTGCAATGAGGTTGCCGATGGTCTTGCTGAAAAAGCTGGCCAGCAGAGGGTTGAGGGGAGGCTCCTGGTCCAGGAAGCCATACAGAAGGTTCAGCAGGGTTTCGTCCCCTCCCAGCTTGTCGTTGATCTGCGGCACATCTGAGGTCAGAAGCTCACAGGCTGTGTTGGGGTATCTAAAACGGCACAAGCCAAGCAACTGAAGGTGAAATTAGACTTTAGAGACACTCTGCAGGCAACTGAAATCATCTGCCTGTTGGTTTTAAGTGCCGTGGAGTCGGTTCTGACTCATAGCATCTCTGTATAGGGTTTCCAAGGAGCAGCTGGTGGGTTTGAACTGCCAACCTTGTGGTCAGCAGTCCAGTGTTTATCCTACAGTACCACACCAGTACTCCAAATGGAGAGAAAATCCATATAATAAGGGCACCGAACAGACCTCACACATAAAAAAATGCCTAATTACGGGGACTAACGTATTTAGGACTCTTAAGTCTCAGTTTTTAAAATGTCTTTTATGACAACTAATACCCGACACTGTGACAAGCAGTTCCCAGACCCTGCTATCAGCACCCTCTGTCCTCCGCTGCGCCCCACTGATCACTGCAACCCCTCTGCCACCTACCACCCACCCCACTTTTTCCCAGTGTCCCCCTCTGTTACACTGACCCTGCCCCCTCTGCCCCACACATGCCCTCTGCCCGCTACTGAATCTACTGACTCACACTGTAACCAATGATCTCGCCGGACTCCACCAGAAAGGCTACCCTTCTGCCCTTCTCTCCCTGTCACCCTGCCCTCAGGCTAACACACAATGTGAAGACACAATACAGATCCCACTAGGCCTAGACCAAATGAATGATCCACCAATGCTTTACAACAAGCTGAGTGAAATCAATGCTAATAAACATCAATATTTGTGACTAATGTCCTGGTACAGCTGCCAGGCCTCAGCAAGACCCTTTACCTCTCTATGTCTGTAAGCTGAGAAGGTCAACCCCCCAAGCTTCTGTGGGGACTGGTGTGCACTCCAGACAATGCTGGCTGCTATTCCTCCTCTGGGTGTACCTCCTCCAGAGGACTCACCAATAGGAGACCTGACCCGAAGCCATCCCTGTACAATAAGGAGAAGCTGGGCTTGAGGGGTGTGAGGAACAGAGCACAGGGGCATTATGGGTGAGGGTGGGCCTACCCAGCTGTAGAGAATTATGGGTGAGGCTGGGCCTGTAGGACTGACCAGGTTCACCCAGTGGTGGGCTAGATCAGCAGAGGGACCAGGAGAGAAGGCGAGGAAGACTGAAGCCCATGGCAGGAAAAGCCGATGCCATCCCAGACCTGTGCTCTGCAGCCTTCAAGCACTGTGTCTGTGAGATGGGGCGGTTCAGAGGTCTGCTCCATGGGGTAAGCATAAGGTCAGATGAAGGATGCCCAGCACAGGGGATGTGGAAGCTGTGCGGAACACATAGGGCAGTACAGTGGTCACACAAGGATCTGTGAAGGAGAGTGGGCAGCATGAGGTGAAGGTGGCCTGCAGATTTCTAGAGGACACACAAGGGTGGCACAGAGGCCGAGTTCACGGGAAAAGGGAGTGAGAAAAGTCCAGGAAAGCCATCCTTCATATACAGCACTGTCTTGCGCCTCCCTCTCCCCGCCCCAACACACACACACACACACACACACACACACACACACACCCCACACACCCCCCCCACAGCGGGAATGGTCTGACCCTCCATGGGGTGGGGGCAGAGGAGATGAAAAATTGTGCCTTTTATCAGTATTTCCTAATTATCCATCTGAGAAGGTAGGCTGGAGGGATGAGGGATTCCAGGCAAACAATAAAGAACACACGTCTGTAGTCTTTCCTCATGTACTATAATCGGTGGTAAAGCAGCAAACACGCAACGCTGGACCAGGTCTGGGCAGTGGAAAGTGCTGGTCGGGGGTGGTTGAGGGCACCCGTGGAAGGGCGCCCGAAGGAACACAAGACGAGCCAACTCGGAAACTTCCCTGAGGGCAGGCTGTCCAAGGTTCACACCCAGAGAAAGCACATTGGGCACAGAGGGGGACAAGGGACAGGGGACACTGGTACACCATGTCAGCCCCTCTTCCCAGCACAGCCCCACAATGCTGACTGCTAAAAGGATTCTTCTCTGGAGAAAGTGATGGTATGACAAGGAACATCAGAGAGTTTCCAAGGACAAGACACCTGTGACCGCTCCCAGGGTTGGCCCACAGCGAGTCACAGGTCCTGCATAGACACCACAACTTCTGGGCAGGAACTTCATGCCTTACTCAAGGAACACAGACAACAACCAGACAAACAACAGATAAAAAGAGACATGCAGAGAACCAAAGAAAACTTAAAAAACAAATCTGTAATATTTTCATAGATGTTATGATAGACTAATATTACGAACAAGAACTAGAAGCTATTTAAAAATCTAAGACTAAGAAATTAAAAATATGACAGAAATGTTATAAGACACCAGTACAAGGGTGGGAAGATGGAAGGTAAAGATACCACTCAGACAAAGCCATGACAGGAAGAGCCAACACTAGGAGACTCCAGGATTAATTCAGGCGGTCTACACTGACCGAAAGTCCTGGGAAGAAGGAAAATTGGACTGAGCATCTTCTCAAACAAATAATACAAGAACCTTTACCCCCAGATTCTAACACGGACAGGGCTGACCATGACCAGCATAAAAATTTTTAAAAACAAGCAAAAGACCACAATATCGTCACAGTTTTGGGAAATTTCAGCACAAAGGGGACGAGAATAGGACCTAACTGCTCCCTGGGGGACACAGACAGATAGGGGACACACTGGCATCAGAGCTATCAAGCGCAAAGCTGGGAACCAGAAGACAAGCATCTTCAAGAGAGCAGACAGGGCAAGCAGGAGAGAACAGAGGAGAACCATGACTCCAAGGCCTTAGGGAGGAAGCTGCTGCCATCCTGGACAGCGGGGCTGAGAGTCCTGAAGTGCTGTGTGGGGAAGACCCCTACTCTTCTAGAGGGAGAGTTTGCTCTTGTCCTCGAACAGCTGGCCAGCCCAGCTCTGCTTCTTCCTGGACTCAGTAGCCCAGTGTCATCAGCCACCCTTCTCCACATCTGGTTTAGAATGACAAAATGCTAGTTTGGTCTGTCTGCTGGCTCCTTCATCGTATTTCTTACCAGGTCAGAAATCAGCAAGCACACTGTTCAAGAATCTGCAGAGAGAGACCACAAGCAGCTAGCTGCCCATTCCCAGAGTTGGGTCACATGGCCACTATTCCCAGCCCTGTGGGCAGCATCTTCTGCCATGGCCTGGACATGACGCTGGTAACCGGTGAGCAGTGTAATGACATAGGAAGGTGACCCCCTCTGTCAGCCCAGGGACTGCTCTGGGCAGGTGGGGCTGCTGCACCCCCAGGAGTAGGGCAGAGGAGGCCCACAGGCCTACCTGTCCATAGCAACCTTGGCTTTCAAGCAGAGATGGAGGCTGTTGCCTGACCGGGAAGCACATAGGAGCCACTTCTCTGGAAGCAGACACAGTTCAGGTTCACTCTCTACAACCCAGATCCCAGACACTAGGATGAAAAGACCATGTGCCCAGCCAGGTCCTAGACCCAAGCTGCACTTTTGCAGCACAGAACCCATGGAAGGGGGGTTGACTCCACTGGTCAGAGGCGGGCTGAGGGAGGCAGCAGATTTACGCCAACACATACATGTCCTTCGTCGTCCAAGGATGCTTCCATACTAAAACAGTGAGGAAGAATTTGCCACAAAGTCCACAAATCCTAAAACACTTGCTATCTGATCTTTTACAGAGAAAAAAATGTGTCAACTCCTGGTCTTCACACATACCCTACATTTGAAAAACAATCTTACCCTACGTTCTCCTCTTTTAATATTTTTAATCAGAGTATTATGTGCACATGCTTCAAAAAGTCAAAAACTCCAAGAATGCTCATGATGTCAAGCAGTCCCGCACCCACAGCCAGCTCCTTCTCATGTCCACGCTGGGCTTCTCATGGGTCACTACAAACTCCTTTAGTGGTTTTCTCTTTTACCAGCTAGTTTCTAAACAGTGTGTGTGCAGTGTATACATATACACACACTCCTTGTGTGTAAGTGTGTGCACATACATACACAGGTACTCATTTCCACACGGTGTGGGTGTGTGCTGTGTATACACACATATATACACACACATACATCCTCATTTCTACACGGTGTGTACAGTGTGTGTGTGTGGACATAGTTTTTATACCCCCACCCATCCTTGTTCCTAAGTGGTGTGGGTATCTACAGCCCGCCCCCTTGTGTCTCAATACAGTGGGAATAGTGTATTCAGGAGTCCTAGTATGGCACTATAGGATAAGCACAGGACCTCAAGGTTGGTTTGAACTACAAGGGCAGAATGGTTCCAATCCCCCAGTACAGGGCTGTTAGCAGTTAAAACTCACTCAACAGCACTTAACAACAAAAACACAGTGTTTTCACTAGTATTTGCATAGTGTATATACACACAGACACTGTTCTTGTTTCTAAATAGCGCACATATACTGTACACATAAACACACACACATCAATGTTTCTAAATAGTGCATTAAGTATAGGATATTCAAATGTACACTGTGCAGTGAAAGTTTTACTCCAACTTGACGAGGCCAGGAGTCCCAGAGGTGTGGCAGCTGAGATGTGGTCATCCCCATGGTGAGACCTAATGGAGGCACAGTAAACTTGATGATGATTAGCTATGAGCAGCCAATTCACAATAAGTATGTTTCCTTGGGGTGGGGTGTGGCCCACTGCCAATATAATGGACACAGGAAATGCTTGCTCTTTTCTGCTGGAGACTTAGGACTCTACAATTATGAACCATTTCTTTAATATAAACTTTTACGAATCAGGCTGTTAACCTCAGAGTCAGCAGTTTGAAACTACCAACTGTTCCGTGGGAGAAAGAGGAGGCTTTCTGCTCCCATAAAGGTTTACAGCCTTGGAAACCCTGTACAAGGTCGCTATGAGTCAGAATCGACTCTACGGCACTTAACAACATCTAATCTATCTATCTATCTACATAAGTTTCACTGTGCACATTTCATTATAATATTTGACTTTGTCTTCTCAAACTGTGAAGGTGTGCTTAACCCAAGCCATGATATTTTCACCAGCTGCTCCTTGGAAA